TCATTACAAGAAGTATCGATACTCTTGGCCAGATCAAGGGCCCATTGAGAGTCAACATTTGAGTCAAACCCAAAAAGAAAGATCTTGTAGTAGGCAGCACAGATATTCACTACAGCTGTACCACATGGGCTAAGGACAATGAAAAATGATAATAATGATATGTGTATCTGTAGGATCAGGGGCCCTGGCTCGAATTCTGGTGAGGCTACTACCACCAGGGTGATCTGAGGAAAGCAAATGCCGTTGTGCTAAACTTTAATAAGTAAGCAAAAGAAAAACAAAACAAAACCTGTTTGCCAGGCAGGACTAATGTGGGTGGGGTGTGGCATCAAGGCAGGTCCCAGCTTGTCATGCCCTAGCCATTAATTTCTCCAGGATGGCCTCAGAAAGGACACCCAAGTCTAGGACTTGGAGAGGTGCTTAGTGACAATCTCAGAGGAGGTGAGGTCCTGAGCACTGAGCTACCTGAAAGTGGTGGTGGTGGGACTGACATTATCAGTGGCAACTGCCTAAAGAAGTCTTCGCTTTTTGCTCTCCATGATACTCTTGTCCCCTAAATTGGCTCCTCCTTGCCCTAGCACTGATATTTCTCCTGGCCTCTTTGGAGTGGATGAGTCACCCCTAGAGGCAGCACAACCCTCTGCCCTTTCCCCAAGCCTGTCTACCATTGTGGGTTCTCACAGAGAGCCTAGGCCCTATCTTGGAAGGGCCTGGTCTGCTCCTGTATTATGGCTCTGAGGCTGTGTCTAGGTAACTTTAGATTAAAAGTTTGGAGATGCACCAGCAAGACCCTGTCTTGACAGAAAAAGATTTTAAAAGGGGGCTGGGGATGTAGCTCAATATGAAGACCTGGGTTCAAGCCCTAGTACCCATATACCAAAAATGAAAAAAGGTATCAAAATATTGTATATATGATCTAGATCAGGTTTCTCATATTGGCAGTGTAGGCCCTTGTGGAAAATAGTAAATAATACTTAGGCTTTATTATTAGTGTAATATTCATATACATATCCTGCAGTTATCTAAAGCTCAAAAATTTAAACTAAGCTAATCTATCTACAAGATTATCAAGACTGTTCTCTTATTTTCTATGCCTTCATTATAGAGATCACCACCTGTGCTACAACTATTGAGATTTGTACCAATGAATCCACTCTCCACCCTGCTCTGTGCTTCAAGTAGAACTCTAATTATTTGCAATATAATTGCTTGCATAAGTTCAATAAAAATCTGTTATTACTGCAGCAGGACATAATTGGGAACACTGACTATATTTAGGCTTTGGCTGAAACATTTTTAAGAATGATGCATAAAACTAGATTATAATGAGGTAGCTGCAATGAATTAAGTTTGTCTTATGGAGACACGCTTACAAGGCTGTCTTGGAAAAACTAACCTAACCGTCTCTGTCTTACCAAGCTTCTGGCATTACAGATGAGTGAACATCACTTCCTGTAAGGCCCAGGAAACAGAAAGAAACTCACCAAGTTTATAGATATTGAAGGTTAAATCTAGTGACAAGTTCTCAATTATCTTCCCAGCCTCAAAAAGCTTTTAAAGTTTAATCTTGGATTAATTGTTAATGCTCTAGTAAGGTAAAAACTAATTTTTTTTTGTTTTCTGAGATAGCGTCTCATTATATAGTTGAGACTGACCTGGAACTCACTATGTAGCCCACGCTGGTCTTGAATTTATAGCAATCCTCCTGCCTCAGTCTCCCCAGTGCTGGGATTACAGGAGTGTGCCACCACGCCCAGCTCCAGTAAGGTAAGTTTTAAAAGGCTTATATGTTCCATACCATTCTTCTGAATTTATGTAAATAATCAGGCCAACTCTAAAAGAGATCAGAGTTATATTTTGTAAATGAAAGTCCAGTTAGTGGTGATGGAGAGTGACTTGTTTCAATAGAAAACTATAGTGCAACCTTTGGGTAGTAAGATTATAATCTTGTTCATAGTCTTTGAGCTATTTTTATCTCTTGGCAAATTCTATTTTAAGTTATGCTCTGTAACACACTTTGTCAATAATTAGTGTTCCAATTTTTTCCTACCCTACTAACTTGCCATCCCTGAAAATTAAAATTCTTCCTTTCCAAAAGCCATTATAGGCTGAAGTTAGAGGACTTGACATAAACTTGAGAGAAATCACAATAGATTATGTAGTGGCAACCTTTGTGCTTGCTACTGTGTAGGCCACTCAGAAAATTTCATGAGAATGTGCAGTCCCATCAATGGATAAAAATATCCAGCCATTAATCTTTTTTGAAAAATTATTGTCATAGGAACCACCTTCATTGCTTATCTGACTTACAGAACCAGCAAAAAATTCCCTACAATCAAATCTCAATAAATGATTCAGCTTGTTCTTAAAAGATAATGGATTGAGAAATAGATGGCTTAAAGGAAAGCAGAATGCCTCTTTTCCCCTCCAACAAGAGCAGGGATGGAAAGCAACTCTTCTTCACTCAGTTTTGGTCAGGCATCTTTAAGTACTGTAAGCTTGAGCCTTGGTGTTCCTCCTTATTGGGCCTATGTTGCCTAAGATGTAGATGTAGCAAGAATCTTGCTACCAAAAAATAAATAAAATAATAAAAAAGAATCTTGCTACATCAGTTTAGCCATAATCTTCCACTTCATATATCTGATCAACCTGAATTTATGAGTGATCAAATTTCTCATCCCACACCATCCAAATGATATCTGATCACTCTAACCTGCTTTCAGCAAGATTCCCGTTGTGTCCGTTTGAATTGAATGCCTCTCTGAAATGAATAGACACTTCTCAGATGAAGAAATAGAAACAGCAAATAAATACATGAAAAAATGTTGAACATCACTAGTTATTAAAGAAATACAGATTAAAACAACTGTGAGATTCCATCTCAGGCCAAAAAGAATGGCTGCTATCAAGAAATCAGCCAAAAACACATGCTAGTGGTGCTCTGGGGAAAAAGGAACCCTTCTCCACTGTTGGTGGAGTACAGACTGGTACAACCACTGTGGAAATCAATGTGGAGATTCCTCAAAAACCTAAAACAAGAGGTTCCATTTGACCAGCTATTCCCCTTCTTGGTATCTTCTCAAAATAATAAAAGCATCATACCTAAGAGACATATGCACACCCAGGTTTATAGCAGCACAGTTTATAATTCTAAACCTTGGAAACAGCACACATGCCCATCAACTGACCAATGCATAAGGAAGATGTGTTTTATTTTAAATACATGGAGTACTATTCTATCATAAAGGAAAGAGGAGCTTCAGACATTACAGCTAAATTGATGGACCTTGAGACCACATTCTTAAGTGAAATAAATCTGACACACATATTTAAATACCACATTGTTTCTCTGGTGTGAGAAACCAAAAGTAGAAGTAAGGATGATAAAATGTATAATAGATATTGGCAAATGGGAATAAAATATTCAAGTGGGAAAGGGAAAAAGGGTGGGGGGAGAAAGGAATGAAGGAGGAAGAAAAAAGTGAAATTAGAAGGGAAAAATGGAAATGAAGCTTTTGTACACAGGGAGGGGCCTTAAGGAGAGGGGAAATGGGAAAAAGGTGGGATATATCATGTCTACATGCAAATTCCCTATGATGAGTGTTATTATGTATGTCTAAAATGTACCAATAAATATTTTGCTAAAAATAAATAAATAAATTGAATATCTCTCTAATGATTCTTAATGTTTTCTCTTAGTTACTTTCCATCCACTGACCTTTGTCCTGCTCCTTTTCTATAAATCCAAGCTTATACTTGTCGTGTTTAGAGTTTTTGGTTTATTTTGGGACAAGAGCTCATTATGCAGTTCAGACTGGCCTTGAACTCACTATGTAGCCCAGGCTGGCCTCAAACTTACAGTCATCCTCTTGCCTCAGCCTCTTGAGTGCTGGGATTACAGGTGTGAGCCACAATAACTGGCTCTGCTTTTACTATTTTAAGTATAGTCTGGTTCTTTTTTTTTCTTTAACATATGTAGAACCATCAAGTAGGAAATACTACTGAGATAAAACAGTGTTGCTTCTGGGTTGAGCACAAACAATGCCTTCACATATTGGGAAGTTTCTGTCAGAATTAGTGTCAGAGTGATACTTGGTCCACAACCCAGACCCAACATCTATCCCATTAGTTCATGTGTACTGAAGATGACAAGACTGAATTAGAAATCTCCAGCCTCCACATATTTGAAGAGAAAAAAGGATAATATTAACTTCTAGTTAACAGGGAGTGCAGTTTATTTCAGAATGGCATTGTACGATTGCATACTGATTTGATTTTACAACTTGAAGAGTACATGAAATAATGTCTCCAAACATTTAGAGTGGGCTCAAACCTGAACACAAAGCCAAGGATGGTGGCACACACTTGGCAATCTCAGCACTCGGGGGGCCGAGGCAGGATTGCAGAGAGTAATCCTTTGCAGACTGCATTGTATGGAAATCTGAGTGTGTACTTTTGTCCCTTTCCTTTCTTTATTCTTTATCCTTTTTCTTCTTCCAAGTACTGGGGATTGAGCTTGAACTCAGGGCATTCCCACTGAACTACATACATCTTGAGACCTTCATAATTTTGAGACAGTCGTTCAATTGTTCAGTCTGGGCTCAAATTGAGCCTCCTAGAATGCGGTATTACAGGTGGGCTCTGTAAGTGGAGTGAGATCAATAGGCGTGGGGTACAGCCCGCAATCCTAGTACTCTTGGAGGGTGACACAGGAAGGGACTACAAATTCAAATTCAAACCCAGTCTGGGGAATTTAGCAAGACTCCATCTCAAATAAAAAAATTAAAAATGGGCTGGGATGTAGCTCAGAGCGAAGGTCCTTGTTCAGTCCACCGTACTGGGAAACAAAAAGGAGGAGTGTTCAGTGTTTGGAGTTTTTTGGGGGGTCCTTGCGCTTGCAAGGCAGGCCACTGAACCGCTGAGCTAAATCCCCAGCCCCAATGTTTGGAGTTTTGAGTCCATCTTTCACAAAGTCCTTCTGAGTGCCTCTTTGCTTTTAGTTGGTAGTCCACAAAGCCAAGGCCCTCGTCCTTCGGGGACTACTCTACCCAGAAGACCCTGCGCCTCACGCCTGCAAAGTTCGACCAATAAAAGAGCGTTTCCGTGCGATCGATGGGCGTCAAGGCGGAACTTCCGTCGCACACCTGGCCACAGTCATCTTGGCCTTTCTAGTGTCTTGTCTACTCCGCGCTATTCTTCAGCGGTCAGTGGAGCGCGAGATAGTGAGCAGGACGATCGGAGAGCCAGTGTTGTCCTTGCTGACGGAGGCGGTTCTGAGGATTACCGGGGGTGCTGCTGCGTGACAACAGTTTCGGTAGAGTCTGCTTTTCCTGGCTTTACCCCCACTTACAGGCTTTGATGGTGACTCTTGCCCGGAAGGACCTGGCTCAGGTTAGTATTGCGTCCCCTAAACCGATCTAATCGGTCCAGACATCCACCTCCCAATCCTAAAGACCCTGATGCTGCGCAGGCCCTCATTTCTCTTTCAGTCAGAAGGTGGCGCGCTCCGGGTTGCCTTCCCCATTTGTCGCTCGGCGAGCTGGAGAGTGGAAGGGGCCGGCGTGTGAAGAGTCTGGAGTTGGCATTGAATGCAGCTTTAGGGAACTTGAGGCCTGTCTTCTGTCTTTAGCAAAGAGATTGCTTGGGGATGAGTCACGCGTGGTTTGGCAGCCTGAGCAGGGGGTGGGGTGGGGAGGGATGAGTCACACGTGGCTCGGCTCCCTGTGCGGTTAGGCCCACGTTCTGAGGACGCTGTGATGGGGTCTCCTGGAGGGGGTAGGAACCGAGAGATTCGCTGAATTGAGATTTTAAAAGATTTCTGTAGGCTGCCAAGGACTGGGGAGAGGAGCAATAGAGTGAAAGTTAAGAGACTTTGAGGAGGCTACGGCTGCAGACTCCTGGATAATGGCTGTGATGTAGCCAGAGCCAGTGTCACCGGCTGCTGCAGGTCCTTGCGTCGCTGATAATGAAAGTTAATGATGAAGGAGGAATTTGCAAGGCGGGGGAGATTTAATTGGACCGTAAGAGAAAAGTAAGGGACTTAACTAAGCTTGAGGAACTGACAAAGTTCTTTTTTGCTGGCCCCATAATGAAAAGAGAATATAGGCAAAGCCTTCACTTTTAGAAACTGATAATGGCACAGATTTGAAGAGGTGGCTCAAATTGGCCTATAAAAAAACCAAGACAGGTTTTTTAAGATTTTCTGGGTTGGGCTAGTGGCTGGTTGATGCTGATCTCATGGCTTTGTCTGCGGAATGGTCCCGGGAGAGGTCTTTTTACTTGAGGGGGCACTGAAGTTTCCATTAGATGATTATTTTTGTGTGGGGCAGTCTCAATGTCGTAAGACTCTACTGAAAGACACAATGACACTCAATTTAGGGTGACCTACTTGGAAACTTGATGACTTGGAGGCTTCTGGGCGCGGTCCAATGTCCCTGTAAACCCCCAATCTTAATAGCACAGTCTTGAAAGGGGATGGGATTATGTAAATTCAGGACCAATTGACATGCTTTTCCAACCTTTAGATTGACAATTAACATACCTATATACAGCGCTGAAAGGGGACTTGCCCCAAAGTTTTAAGATAACAAAGGTTACAAAACAAAGGTCAAGCTTTGTTCTACTTTTAGTTACCTAGTCAATGTTTGGGGTTTGTTTTGTTTTTTACAAAAACATTTGTTTTAAGTCCCTGACTGCTGCTTCAGAAGAAAATACGAAGTGTGCTGTCACTGCACAGGGCCCAAGGAGGTCACCAAAGCAGAGATGGGGAACTTCAGCGCACCTCACCCATGGGACAGGTTATAGGTTCGATAACTTCCCTAACAGAAAAAGAATTTCCAAGATGTGTCAGTGGGTGGTATAAAGGCAGAATTAAACAGGTACACATTCAGAATAGTGTTTGGGCCCTTGAGAGGCACACGGTGGTTAAGAGTAAGGGTTTTTATGTAGACTTAGGGATGTTCTCAAATGGGTAATCTTGGATGTATATGCCTACCATCTGTCAGGTTACTCAACTGGCAGGCTGTGTTAGAATGCAAATCTCCTGTGTTTGAGGTTGAGATAGGCTCATTTTCTGTGGGGGAAAAAAGTGTAATATACAGGTGACAATCACAAGCCCAGGCTTAATGTGTCTTTAAGATCCTTAGGAAAAAGGTGTGTGTGTGTGGGGTTGAGTTTCCTGGAAAGGAAAAAGGCTCGAGCAACTTTTGTGTCCTGAAACTGCAGTTTTTCTTAATAGTTTTGTTTGTTTTTGAGAAAGAGGCTAGCTGTGTGGTTCAGGCTGGCCTTGATCTCATTATGTTTCCCAGGCTGGCCTCAAACTCCAGGCGATCCTCCTGCCTCAGTCTCCCAAGTGCTGGGATTACAGGCGTGTGCCATCACACCTGGCTTTGACAGTTTCAACATTACAATTGTCACCGGCTCCTTTTTACCTTCTACCCCCCTCAATCTGGGAGTTGAACCCAGGGCCTTCACACTAAGCTATATCCCCAGACCATTTCTTTGTTTGAGAGGAGTCTCCCTCTATTACCAAGGCTGGAGTTGAATTTTGAATCCTCCTACCGCATTCTCTCAGAATGCTGATATTGCAAGCTGGCACCTCCATACCTGGTTTATATTGGCATTTTGTTTGTTTTTTTGGTACTGTTTGCAAGGTAGGCAGCGGCACACTGAGCTAAGTCCCCGGCCCTATATTAGCATTTTTATTGTTTTGGGAGACCTATACAAAAGCCAGATGTTTACCCAAGGGACAAATACGTTCCTTGGTGGGGACACATGAGAATATAATAAGATAGGTTGAAGGACATATTTTTGGAACATCTAGTAGTATTCGGAATATGGACCTCTAATGGCTGTTGGTGAAGATGTTAGAGGGGTGGCTGGAGACTACCAGTGACAGTTGGTATTCTGTTTAAAGCTCCTTTTTATATCCAGTTTAGCTCTATTTTTATATTTCTATTAATTATTTTACCTTTGGTCATACTTTTTAGGGCATTTAAGACCAAAATCACAGTAAGACTAGTGTTAGTTGGGCATAGTAGCTTTAAAAAGCTGTATCCAAGAGTACTTGTTAGAGTTCTTTTTTTATGAATCTGGCTGTGTATATTATGTGTTTTATTTTATATATCTATATAGATAAACACACATATACATGCTCAGGTTTTGTTTTTTGAAATAGGTGCATATAGGCTAATAAATAGCACTAATAAAAGTAAAAAAATAGCTTTAGGCCTTCTACTAGTTTAGGAAAGTGTTAATGACTATAGATAGATTTACCCAAAAAAACAAGTATATCTCATTTATACAATTAAAAAAAGTGTTTAGTCGGAGCCAATAGATGTAGGTCAAGTTTTTTTTGGTTTTTTGTTTTGGGGTTTTGTTTTTTTGGGTTTTTTTTTTTTTTTGCTTTTGTGGTATTGGGGATTGAATCCAAGCCCTTTGCATTGAGCTACATCTGCAGACATTTTTCTTATTTTTTAATTTGAGACCAGGTCTCACTAAGCTGTCGCTAAGACCGCCGGGCTAGAACTTGTGATCCTCCTGCCTTAGCCTCCCAGAGTGTGCTCCAGCATTCTCAGCTATATGCATAAATAAGTTTTAAATGACAGGGCTGAAGTGTATCAAATACAAAGCAGAGATGTCAAAAGGTTTTGATTGTTTTATATGTTTAATGTTTAGATGTATATTACATAAGAGAGTGCTTCTGGGCCAGGGATTTAGCTCAGTGGTGCTGTGCCTGCCTTGCTAAATGCAAGGTCCTGAGTTCAGTCCCTGGTACCAGAAAAAAAAAAAAAAAAAAGCGCTTCTTAGTTGCTTTGTATTAAACTTCTGTACATTTAAGTTTATATACTACATTTTTTGAGTTATGTTGATGACTCTCTTCTTATTGTATTTCTTTTTTTTGTATATACTACATTTTGACAAAACGTAGACTAGTAAATTTAATCTTCAGATGTATACAATTGACTTTATAACAGACATTTAAATAAATTTAACTCCCTTAAAACTGTTTTTAGAAGTAACTAAAAACCCAGTGGCAGAAAATATAGAAATTAATCTTGATAAAATATAAAAGCTTTGTTTCATAGCCCAGTTTTTGTAAATTTTTACCAAGAGCAGATCAACATTTTAAGAAAGTTTTGTTGTCTCTGTAAGAATTTTGAAAACTATAAACCTTTTGATTTTATTTATTTATTTTTGAAGTCTTCGTATTTAGTCCAGGCTGGTCTCGAATTTGGTGGTTCTCTTGCCTCAGCGTCCAACTGCTGGGATTACAGGCTTGCCCCACCATGTTCTGCTAACTTTTAATTATAGACAGCCCAATCACATATAACAGTTTTAAAAAATAATTTTTGTTGGGGTAGGGTGCAACGAAACTGGGGCAAACCAGAAGGGTCACCCATCATTGGAGAAAACTGGCAGATTGGTTCAAGCAGCTGGTTTTTCAGCCACGGAAGGAGAGTTTTATCTGGTACATCCTCAGGCAATTTAAATTATAATTTTAAAGTACAGAATTATATATTAGAATTTTAACTCTTAGTAACCTTTAAATACTCTTAAACTTTTTAAAAACACATTTAGTAGATTGAAATATTTTGTCTTTTTGTAAACTTTAAGCCAAGAATATTGAATTTATATTTAGCAACTTAGTTGCTTTGATAAACATTTGTAAGTATGAATCCCATTTTATTTACTTATTTTAACAATTATTTTAGATTATTTATGAGAACCAAGATATTAGGTTCGCAGAGTTAATATTTTAAGCTTTGCATATATTTTAAGCCAAAGAAAAACCCTAAAAAATCTGGTATTTAAAATACAGGAAGGGGCCGGGGATTTAGCTCAGCAGTTTGGTGGCCTGCCTTGCAAGTGCAAGGACCCGAGTTCAATCCCCGGTACCAAAAAATAAATAAAATAAAATAAAATACAGGAAATAATGGACGCACAATGGTAAACATTTAGCAAAGGCAAATACTAGGCAAAGTGTATGTGAGCAACTTTAGTGACATTTTTACTTTTATTTTACCCAAACAAAAGTTTTCTGGGCTACTTACGTGAATATCCACTTACTCACAAGCCAATTTAAACAGAACTTCTGGAGAATAATTTGTAGATATACGTACCTGAAAGTAGCACATGGGAACATATACCTTAACCTGAGTCAGTGATGGCAGGCAGCTTTCAGTGAAACAAGCAGCCTGCTGTGGCACGCCTGGCATGGGTTTGCCACCACTGACCTAAATCGTAGAACCTTTATATCACTGTATTTGGAAGTTTCATGTACACCTTGCAGTTTCCATGGCAATCAATGTCTCTTTATTTTAAAAGAGTCCTCCTTTAATGTCCCAAGTGAATTTAGTAACAGTTCAATATCTGTATAACCAGTTTTTTAGTAAATGAATAAACAGCCGGAAAACTATAAAGACAAAAAATTTAAAAATTAAATTAAAATTTAAAAATAATATAAGCTTTAAAAAGTAAATAAAACAGCTGTAGGCACTTTAGTCAGTTATTACAAACATAGCAAGTGTGGTTGCAGTATACAGTTTAATGTTTAAAGAAAAATTATTACAGTCAAGAAAACATTGCTATTAATCCTCCTCAAAATACCCTCCCTTCCTTTAATCACACTTATCCCATCAGTCTTGCTCTGCAGCACAGGCCAAAAAAACATAGATGACATGTAGAGCAATGACATTAAATCAGTATATTTTTACATATATTGGCCATGTTGAATTATAATAATCTTTTCCCCTCAGTTTTAGGCTTGTAACTGAAAATGGAATTACTGCTAGGGTGTACCAATTAATGCTTTTTTAAAAAAAATGTAAATCCTATTTATGTAACTCTGACAGATTTTTAAATTTTTTTATTTTTATTTTTGACAGATTTTTTAAATACTGTGGTTGCTTTATTTATTCATTTATTTATTTATTTATTTTTCCCTTTGCTTTTTTGAGACAGGATCTCACTAGGTAGTTGAGACTGGCCTGGAATTCACTGTGTAGCCCAGGCTGGTCTCAAACTCACAGTGATACTCCTGCCTGAGCCTCCCAAGTACTGGGATTACAGGTGTGCGCCACCACACCTGGCCTACTGTGGTTGCTTTAAGACATAGAGTTAAATCAAGGAAGAGGCAGAAAAGGGAGATAATTGTTACAGATTGCTAGATGGGACCGTGGTCCATTTTCCTTCCTTGTTATAAACCATATTTGAGGCCTTTTTACTCATACATTCAAGAAATACAGAGGGAAAAACAATTCTTTTTTAAGCAGTTCTAGTTTTGTTTTGTTCTTTGGTACCGGGGATCAAACTCAGGACCTTGTGCTTGTGAGGCAGGCAGTGGAAGCACTGATCTAAATCCCTGGCCCTAAGCAGTTCTAGTTTTGTGAAATATAACCTGTAAGTGACATTTGGGAATAGACATTGAATTACTCATAATCCTTTTTTTTTAGTACTGAGGTTCGAGCTCAGGGCCTTGTGCTTGCCAGGTAGGTGCTTTGCCACTAATCTGTATCCCTGGCCCACTCATAATCTTTTTTTTTTTTTTCTGGTACTGGGTCTCGAACTCAGGACCTTGTGCTTGTGAGATAGCCAATGGCACCACTGATCTAAATCCCTGGCCCTCATAGTCTTTTGAGATGTATGCATCTTTTAAGATCTGGCTTGTATACTTTAGAAAAAGAGATGAAGAAAACACAGGATCCTTTTAGGATCTCCCTTTGGGTCAAGCAGTGGTGCTCACCCCAGTTTTTCTCAGGGTCAAGCAAATAGCTCCCTCCAGTTTTTCCCAGGATCTGGCACCAGCTGGTCTCATTGCTGTTGTATCCAGAGAAAAACAAGTATCCTTGACCTTGGCATTACTGGAATTATCCTGATAAGTGCGCAAATCCTCTGGTGTCTTTCACAGTAAGATAGAAAGGTAAGAAAAAAGTCATACAAAAGGGCTAGGTTTTCCTTAAAAAGTCACCCCTGCATCATAGGTAAGGAACTCACGAGGGCTTAATAGGTCTGGAGATTCCTCTGTCTACAGTACCTAAAAAGCATATACTAGTTTAGATAGCAAGATAAACTAGAGGCTGAGGTAAAAGGAAGAGACAAAAAGAAAGAAGGTGGAGGAAGCTAGTCAGCACTAGAGATGCGACCTGTGGAAATTAAACTTATAGGAACATTTAACATTTGTTTCATATCTTAATATGCTACTAAGCAGTACCATTATCATACTAGCCTAAAGTCTTAAAAGTCACGTTCTTTTAAATGCTTAAAGATGACTAAAAAAAAAAAAGACAAAAAGGCGGGGGTGTTAGTTCAGTGTTAGTTCAGTGGTTCCGCTGCCTGCCTCGCAAGCATAAGAACCCAAGGGCCCCCCACAAATAAAAACAGACACACAAAAAAACCTTCTAAATGCACACATACAGTGATGATTAATTATCACCTGAGAGAGCTCTGTTTGGTGGTTATTTTAAGTTATATTGAAATCACACCTGTTAGGACACAAAGGAAAAGAAGCAGGGGTATGAGCTCATCAGGATAGGATTATTTCAGAACAAACCTGAGAGGGACCACATTGGCATTGGAGACCAGACCATCCATGCTTGTACAGGTATAAGGTCTTCATAGGGTCATGAGCATATAAAAGGGGGGCTGTGGAAAGGAAAAGTCACAATGGGACTTTCATGGGAGAGAGGTCAATATAGAGGAGTTGTGGCTATCCGCCCGGGACTGGGCTTGAAAACTTACAAAGAGTTGCGTGTTATTTGTCAAGAGGAGCGGCCAAACTCATTGGGAATTAAAGGATGTAGCTGTGCTTACTGGACCTGATGGACCCATGACACGTCTGCAGCAGGTGTAAAAGCATAGCAGGGGAAAGGGATTTAAAGTGGTCTCTGCTTAGACCAGGATGGTGGTCATTGGATTCCTTCAACACCAAATATATTTAAAATGTACAGGTAAAATATTAAAACTGACAATAAGACAAACAACCTTGAACCTAACGCCCACCCTGAGAAGAAGGACTTTACCAGTTTTGAAGCTTCATGTGGTCCTTCTTCCTTGTGTTAATATAATCATCCATTTAAAATTTTGTGTTTTCCTTGGTTTACTTTCTATTAATTTTTAATCATATGTGAATATAACTTATAATTACATGATAATTATTTTTGTATACTTTAAACTTTACTCAATATTATCAGACTATGTATTAATTTTCTGAGATTCATTCATATCATGAATGTGGTTATAGTTTAACAGGAAAAGACTAGTTGTATAGATAGAGATAGCACATACTTAGCACTTGATATGTACTAATGTGTTTGATCCCAACAGCCCTTAAGAAGCTGATTCTGGAAAATAAAAAAGAAGCTGATTCTGTTACTATCCTCATTTTACAGAGAACTTTGAGGCATAGGGAGGTTAAGCCATCCACTATCAAACAGCTGATAAAAGGCAGCCCTGATGAGTGAGGCCCGTAAGTTAGACAGTCACCTGAAGGTCACCTTGCTTCAGAGCAGGATGAGGGGTTGGATGAGCCCTCAAGGCTCCACCATGGATGCCCATTGCCCACAGTCTTGTTCTTTTCACAGGTACCTATGGGTGCAGAAGTGCTTACTCACCATGCACAGGTGAGTAGAAGGTGTCTCAGACCCATGGCCTCTTTATCTTCCAATCATATGGTCTCTGGAATTATGGTGTCTTAGAACTGTATATTGGCTACGCCTCTGGCCATGAGGTCTAGGGTCTCTGAGGTTCCCTCAGACTCAGGGACTGAAATCTAGGCTGAGGGTTATATAGAGAAGTCATCGTTTCTGGCAACATCTAGAATGCTGTGCAGATGGTATTATAAGCACAGGGGACTCGTGTAGGTGAAACAGCTGGCACTATTTAGGAACCAAAGGTCTCCATTATGTTTGGAAGCCGCATAGAGATGAGGCCCAAAACAGCAGGTTGAGCAAATATGTCTCTCTTTTTTTTTTTTTTTCCTCATACTGGGAATCAAACTCAGGACCTTGTGCTTGCCAAACAGGTGCAGAGCTGCCGAGCTAAATCTCCAGGCCCCTTGTCTCTCTTTTTGAATGTTAGGAGCCAAGGAACATTTTTCTCAATTATTTATTTTTTTGTTTTGTTTTTGGTACTGGGGATGGAACTCAAGACCTTGCATTTGTGAGGCAGGCAGTGGCACCACTGAGCTAAATCCCTGGCCCCGAGGAGCAACATTTTTGTTTGTTTTGGTTTTGTAAGTCAGGGTCTCACTATGTAGCCCAGGCTACCATTGGATTCATGGTGATCCTCTTGCCTCAGCCTCCTGAGTGCTGGGATTACAGGTGTCTTCCAACGTGACTGGCTGCTAAGGAACATTTGGGATAGAGGATTGAGGTAACCTCCAAGGATTAACAGATTTCCCCTGGATGCAAAATGGAATATAGGCATCAGGGGCAATGGAGGAGGTTATTGCAATAGTCTAAATGAGTATTGATTTTGGCCAAGTTGGAGTGGTGGATGTGGAGGTAGAGAATCTATGGCTTCTAGTTTTTTTTTTTTTTTTTTTTTAACTCTACTCTCTGATGTGGAAAAGAGTCAGGGGTAATAATGAAAGATTTTGGCCTTTCTTGCTAGAAGGAAAACATGATATTAACTGAGATGAAGGAGTTAGTTGTGGGAGTGAATTTCATAGAGAGTATTAGGAGTTAGGTTTTTGAGATATTCTAGAGGCTTTCAAGTAGAGGCACTGAGTGGATAGCTTAACAAATGGGTCTGGAGTTCAGGATGTTCAGATGCAGATATAACAAGGTGTGTAGGCCAGGGTAGGCTATAAGTCACTAGATACATTTAGGAGGGGGAATCTTCAGGTAGTGGTGGCAAAGCCACTAATGGGCAGGCACTGTGTTAGCTTTTTGTTACAGTGACAAAATTCCTGATAAAATGAACTTCAAAGGAAGTTTGGAAGCTTTAGTCCATGGCAGTTTGGCCTCATTGCTTTGGGCTGTGGTAAGACAGAACATCATGGTGGGGAGTGCATCCTAGAGCAAAACTGCTCTCTTAATGGCAGCTAGGAAGTGAAGAGAGAGGAAGAAGCAAGATCTTAATACATTTTTCCAGGGCACTGCCCCACCAGTGACCCAATTTTCTTTACTTAGATACCATTTTTTTAGAGGGGTGAGGGGGTTTGAGACAAGGTCTTGCTATGTAGTTCAGGCTGGTTTCAAACTCACTGCATAGCCCAGGTTGGCCTCTAACTCAGGGCTATCTTCCTGCCTCAGCCTCCTGAGTGCTGGGATTATAGGTGTGCTCCAGCACACCTGGCTAGGTACCATATTCTAAAGGATCCTTCATCTCCCAGTAGTGCCATCAACTGGAGACCAAGCTTTTAGTATATTAGCCTTTGAGGATTCAAACTATTAACAGCTATGGAATGGGAGGGCAGGGATGAAGGACTAGGACCCTTTCTTGGGCTCTAAAATGGAGTTGGCAAACATTACAGTCAGCATTGAGGGAGAGAGTAGGAGCATAGGATGTGGGTCTGATAGGAGGCCAAGGCTTTCAAGGGAGAATGTCATGAGATGGTTGTGGAAACATAGCAGTTATGGAGATGAAGTGATGGTAAGACCCGGACCTGTGCTTATTCTATTCTTTAAAGGTACACCAGGCTTTCTTGGTGACCTGTGTCAGAGCCTGGAGAGCTTTACTCATTCTCATGGGTAACATTATAGTTAAATGGGAGATAGTGAATGGCAGGAGACAAGTGGAGCCAGGCATTGAATAGGACTTTGATGGAAAGAGGACGGTTGAAATGGGGGAGGGACAGCATATGCAACTCAGCAGTGGAAAAGAATTTAATGTGTCTGCTACCCACTCATGGTTCTGAGTGACTGAGGTTGAAGTAAGGAATAGGGCAAGGTAGAGAGGTCTTTGAAGCAGGGCTCCAGGTTTCCTTAGGATTGTGAGCCATCAGAGAGGCCTGGAGTAGGATAAAGTCATAGTTGCATGTCCCAAGCATTCTGTGGATGCCAGGTGCAGAGTGGAAAGTAGAAAAGTGAGAAGATTCCTGTAGGGAGCAATGGGGGTTGGCAGTGGCAGTAGGAGATAAGAAATGTGAGGAAGGGATGGTGCACAGAATGTGTTCAGAAAGACAACATGAAATGATGGTCCTGAGGTACTTGGTCCTAGGAGTTCTAGGGAGAAAACTGAGCTTGCATTTGCTTCTTCAGGGAGGCATGAATGTGGAACCCAGGAGAATTTACTGTGAGGAGAGGGGTGGGGCTCTTTTTGTGAGGCTCAAAGCTTCAGTGGCATTTATATACCCACATACCTTAATGGATATGGTGACACAGTGATCAATAGAAGTATGGGGGGGGAGAGAGAGAGCAGCAGTGGCCTTGTGAGCTGGGGACAAGAGAAAGCAAGAGTTAGACTGATGTTTCTAAGGAAAGAGTCTGCTCAGGGACACTGCTCTCCCTATTGTGTAGGGCAGTGTGACCTTTGGGGATGTGGCTGTGGACTTTTCCTGGGAAGAGTGGAAGCTTCTTGATGAGACACAGAGACTCCTGTACTTGGATGTGATGCTGGAGAACATTGCCCTTGTGGCTTCATTGGGTAAGTCCCTCTCACTTTCCCCATCTTGACCTGGGCTCTTTTCTTCTTGGGTTGATCTTTGCTTCTCACAGCGTCCTATAGACACTGCTTCCTACTAGGTTTTCTTGGGTAGGTGCTGTGAGTACCACAGGTTGGCCATTCTCTCCTGAGGCCACTCTCACCTAGGGCTGGAAACCTTGCCAGAAAAGATATGGTGGCAGGTGTCTTCCAGTAAACCTGATGGATCCTACCTAGTATGGCCTCATCTGAAGAGAGTCATTGTCTAGAAGCATACCTCTCTCTTCCGTATTCAGCCCACAGCTCTTCCCATTGACATTTCCTGTTGCCTCATTCAAGGAATTGCAGTACCGTTGTGGCCACTAGTTTTGACACTATTACTTTATTCCTATAAGATGCTCCTCTGTAGTTCTTTTTGTACTAATTTACCATGTCTGTGGGGCAATGGAGCTACCATGCACTACTGCTATTTCCTCACTTGCCATGTCTCTCACTTAGGACTTGTATCTTCCCGAATTCATGTTGTTCAACTGGAGGTGGGGGAAAAGACCTGGATGCCTGATACGGCTGACTTCACTCCAGCCATCTCGAGGGGACCTAACTCTGGTAAGTCAGAAGTGGATGATAGCTTAACATTAAAACTGGGTTCTAATGGTACCAGGTACCTCTCCAGTGCCCATTACCGTTTTCATACCAAGGATGGGGCCCTGACTGATTTCATCTGTTCAGTCCTATTCTTAACATTTTTCCCCATTGTCGTTCCTGCAGTGACTTCTGACTCTGACTAGACACACCTTTCTGGCTTTCGGTAGCATCCATCATTCCCCACCATTCCCCTTGTAGCATTCTCCAGCACTAAGCTACATATAATGTGCTAGGATATATACACTTTTCAGAACAGTTGTGAGTGAGAGGCACAGCGACTCTTTCTGTGCAGTATCCCACCTCTGTGTCTTTCCTTTTCCCCAGACCTCACAGTATGATGTTTGTATAGCAGGTATAGCTAAGTATAACATGCCCTTTGTCTTGTTGACTTCAGTTCCCATAACCTCCCAAGACTGCTGTTTATTCATTCCTTATCATGTAAGACAAATATTTGTGATATTTCACCTCTTTCACACACATTGTAGTCTCCACATATATGTCTGTACCATTTTTTGCTTTCAGGTTGTTGGTTTCCAATGGAAGTTGAGGAGGCATCTTCTCAAGGAGAGTCACAAGTCAGGGCTCTCAGTGTAGATACTGTCACCCAGAAGGTCTACCCTTGTGAGATGTGTGGCCCAGTGATGAAGGACATTTTGTTGCTGGGTGAGCATCAGGAAATACACCCTGGACAAAAGCTGCACACATGTGAGGCCTGTGGAAGACAGCTGTGGTTCTTTACAGATGTTCTTCAACACCAGGATCAGTACAGTGAAGAGAAAGATGCCAGGGTGTGTGAAGAGATGGCTGTGTTTGTTAACAGCTCTACAGCACACACCCCAGCGAGTTCTTTTATGTGTATAGATGATGAAGAGGATCTCCTGGGCAGCTCAAGCCGTCTTCAGCACCCAGCGAGGAGTAACGAAGGAAATCCACACACAAGCACTAGCTACAGCACAGCCTTTCAAACAAAAGAAAGACTTTATGAGTGCAGTGAATGTGGGAAATTCTTTGGCCACAAAATCGCGCTTGTTTGGCACCAGAGAATCCACAGAGAAGAAATGACTGAAAGTGGGAACATCCTTAGACCAGACCCTGTCTTTATTGCACATCAGAGTGTTCACACTGGTGAGATGCCATGTGAGTATGATGAACATGGGAAGTTCTTTAGCCAAAGCTCCAGCCTCATCCTACACCAGTGGGTTCACTCTACTATAAAGCCTTACGAATGCAGTGAATGTGGAAAAGCCTTCAGATGCAAATCCAGGCTTGTTCAGCACCAGAGAATCCACACTGGAGAAAGGCCTTTTGAGTGTACCAAATGTGGGAAATTCTTTAGACAGAGTTCTGTCTTTATTGAACACCAGAGAGTTCACACCGAGACAAAACCTTATCAGTGCAATGAATGTGGGAAATTCTTTAGGAGTAAAGTAACACTGGTTCGACACCATAAACTCCACACAGGTGAAAAGCCTTATGAGTGCAGTGAATGTGGGAAATCATTTATTCAGAGCTCTTACCTTACTGCACATATGAGAGTTCACACTGGAGAAAAGCCTTATGCATGCAGTGAATGTGGGAAAGCCTTCAGAATCAAAAACAAACTTGTTCGGCACCAGAGAATCCACACTGGAGAAAAGCCTTATGAGTGCAGTGAGTGTGGGAAGTTCTTTAGAAGCAGAGTGATACTTGTTCGGCACCAGAGAATCCACACTGGAGAAAAGCCTTATGAGTGCAGTGAGTGTGGGAAGTTCTTTAGAGAAAGCTCCAGCCTTATTTCACACCAGAGAGTTCACACTGGTGAAAAGCCGTATGAGTGCACGGAATGTGGGAAGTGCTTTAGCCATAGATCAAGCCTCAATTTACACCAGCGAGTTCACACTGGAGCAAAACCTTATGAATGCAGTGAATGTGGGAAAGCCTTCAGCCGTAAAGATGGACTTGTTCAGCACCAGAGAATCCACAGTGAAGAAAGGCCTTATGAGTGCAGCATATGTGGGAAATTCTTCAAACAAAGCTCTGGACTCTTTGTGCACCGGAGAATTCACAGAGGAACAAGGCCTTATCAGTGTAATGAATGTGGTAAAAACTACAGCAGGAGATCCCACCTTGTTCAGCACAAGAAATTTCACATTGGATAAAGGCCACCTGAATCTAACAATGTGAGAAAATCTATAACAGAAGCACTATCCTAGTTTGTCTTAAAACACAACACTAGAGTAAGGCCTTATGCATGCAGCCTATGTGTGGGAAAGCCTACAGCAGCCAACACATACTTCTACACTAGAGAGAAGACTTGAGTGTTATGAATATGGCTAAAGCATTCATATACAATCTTACCCAGCACCAGAATATTCACATTATAGAGATTGTGCAGCAGATGTACAAAATTCTTTATGTGTTCAATGCCAGAGGGTTCACATTAATGCAAAATTTTATGAATGTAGCCACTCTAGAATGTTCTTTATCCATAAAATCATACTTGTTGTCCACCAGAGAATGCATGCTAGGAAAAGACTTATGAGTACACTGAAAGTGTGAAATTGTTTTGCTAAAGCTCTAACTTTATCATACATCAGAATTCACATCTGCTAGATTAGTGAATTGAATGTGAATAATTTTTTAGCCAACGCTCTTCACTTTACAGAGTTCACATCAGAGCAAGGCCTTATAAATACAAGAAATGTGGGAAAGCATCTAGCCTTAATCCATATTTCTTTAGTACTGGAGAATCTGTACTGGAAAATGGACTTATCAGTTCCACAAATGTGAACAATTATTTAGCCCCAAGTCTGACTTCATTAAACATTGGAGAAATAAATGCACAGGAGGAAAGTGTAGACACTAAAAAAGGTTATCAATCAGTGACTTACTCATTTCCCACTGAAAAGAGCCTTAGGAGTATAGAAGATGTGCTATCTGCTTATTCAACGTAAGGATAGACATTGGAGAAACATCCTGAGAAACCAACCAAATGTTAAATCTCAAATCTGGACATCCACACATAGGGTTCCATATAGTTATGTGGGACATTGTCAGGATTGCATTGCATATTCTGACCCATCCAAGACCCTGGTTACATCAATGCTGGTACCTTTGGCTGAAGGCTCCTCACCTCTGCCACTTGGGAAGTATGAATCATAGAACCCCAGTATGCTCAGTGAACATGCACTTTGATGGCCTTTATCCTATTCCCTGGAGGCAAATCGCGAGTTGTTTAACCATATATAAGTGAACCTGAATAACGGTGGTGACTAGCAAGCTCCAGGGGTTTACCCCACATGAAGGTGCTTCTGCAAATATTCTAGTCCAGTCATCATAGCTCTAAGAGCTGAGGGTATGCAGATATACTCAGGGCCATTGGACTTATGTATTACCTATGGCCACAGTGACTGGCAGAGCAAATAATCTAAAGTTTTTTCTGGATTCCCATAGCTTCCTTGTTCTGTTCGTTCAAGATCACTGCTGCACTGGCAGGAAAAGGGAGCCACAGAAGAAATACTATAGCCCAGAAATAAAAGACTTTTGTGTCTCATGTGGAAATACCTTTCATTGATAGTCTTCCTAAAGGATGAAAAGAATTATAGTGGAGCCAATATATTTGCCCAGTCTGGTTTTTCAAGAGGAATAGAAGATCCACATTTTTACATGGAACCTTTTTTGATGGTATATTGAGATACAATTGATATAGACTTAAAAAATAAGCGTGTTAACATATGTTGAAACCACTATTAAGTATGATAATGTAGCCTATCACCTGCAAAGTTACCTTGTACACCCATATGGTACCCTATCTTCTTCCCTAGCTCATCTCCATGACCAGTGATTTACTGTCAGTATAAACTAGTTTGCCCTTTCTAGGATTTTATATAAAAGACATCATAAATGTTTACTCCTTTCTTTCATTCATCAACATTTGGAGATTTGTCCATGTTGCGTGTATGAATTTTTGTGTTTTCTAATACTATTATTTTTTTGGTATGGATATGTCATAACACATTATTCTGTTCATCTGTAAATGGACCTTTGGATTGGTTCCAGTAAAGGCTTATAAAAAGCTTGTAATTATTGCTGGGTGTGGTAGCACACGCCTGTAATCCCAGCACTCGGGAGGCTGAGGCAGAAGGATTGCTGTGAGTTCGAGACCAGCCTGGGCTACGTAGTGAGTTCCAGGTCAGCCAGACGACACCCTATAAAAAAAAAAAAAAAAAAAAAAAAAAAGTTGTAATTATCAATTTTGTACTAGTTACTGCCCAGAACTACAATGCTTGTATATTCCCCCCTCCCCCGGTACCGGGGACCGAACTCAGGACCTTACGCTTGCTAGGCAGGCACTGTGCCACTAAGCTACATTCCCAGCCCTAATGACTGTATTAAAAAGAGGTAAATGTTTATCATTCTGCAGACTGACCAACTTCCTAAGTGGTTGTACTATAGTACATTTTTAGTAGCATTATCTGATTCCAATTCTGTACCCTCAACATGTGGTATGTGTGTCAATCTTTAATTTTATGGCTGGTGGTCTTATAAAGAATATTCTTTATGAAATATCAGTTTCTAGTTCTTTGACATTACAGAGAAATATAATTACATCTTATATATTGATTTCCTATCCTGGAAACTAGTATTTGCTTTTGTTGCTGCTTTGTTTTGTTTGCAGATTCCAAGGGATTTTCTCCACAGACCTTCATGTTGTCTGTGAAGAAAAAGTTTTAAAAAAAATTTTTAATAGTAAAACATGTATTGGTACATTTTAGGCATCCATAATGCTAATACTCATCATAGGGAATTTACACCTGTACGTGATACATCCCGCTTCTTTTTTTTTTCCCATTCCCCCATGTACAAAATGTTTGTTTCCATTTTTTCCTTCTAATTTCACTTTTTTTCCTTGTCCCTTCTTTTCTCCCTCCCTCTTTTTTCCTCTTCCCATTTGAACATTTTCTTCCCATTTCCCAGTATCTATTATACAGTTTAGTTTTTATTTCCACTTTCAATTTCTCACACCAGAGAAACAGTGTGGTATTTAAATATGTGTCAGATTTATTTTACTTAAGAGTATGGTCTCAAGCTCTATCCATTTAGCTATAGACATCTGAAGTTCATCTTTCTTTATGGCAGAGTAATATTCCATTGCATTAAAAAAACACATCTTCTTTATCCATTTATCGCCTGATGGGTATGTGGGCTGTTTCCAAGATTTAGCTATTACATACTGCTGCTGTAAACATGGATGTGCACATATATCTCTGTGATACAATGCTTTTACTTTGAGAAAATACTAAGAAGGGGAATTGCTGAGTCAAATGGAATCTTTAGTTTTAGGCTTTTGAGAAATCTCCACACTTGATTTCCACAGTGGCTGTACCAGTCTACACTACCACCAACAGTGGAGAAGGGTTCCTTTTTCCCCACACCCACTCTAGCATTTGTTGTTGACTAATTTCTTGGTAGTAGCCATTTCTGGAGTGAGATGGAATCTCAGAGTTGTTTCAATTTGTATTTCTCGAATGCCCAGTGATGTTGAACATTTTTAAAATATATATTTGCTGTTTCTGCTTCATCTGAGAAGTGTCTGTTCATCTCAGATGCCCATTTTGTATTGAGTCTTTAAATTTGGGGGTTCTGAATTTGAGTTATGAAGTTTTGTTGCCATAGAATTATATCAAAATGAAAAGGGCTGAGGATGTTGCTTAGAACAAACCCTGTGTTCAATTCTCAGTACCTAAAAAGCAAAACTGCAAAGTATTGATGGCAGCTGATTACAATCTGCTATCAAAATATTGTGTCTCCCCCAACCCAAATTATTTTATTGAAGCCCTACTGCCCATGTGATAGTATTTGGAGGTGAGGCCTTTGAAGGTATTGATTAAGTGAGGCAGTGGTGGGATTACAGTCATTATAAGCAGGTGAAGAGACCAGACCCTTTCTCTTTCTGCCATGTAAGAATATATCAAGAGTGTCATCTGTAAGCCAGGCAGAGGGGCCTCCCCAAGAACCCAACCATATTGGCACCCTGATTTCAGACTGTTAGCTTCAGAACTAGGAGAAACAGATGTCCATGTTTTAAATCACCACTTTCTTGTATTTTGTTAGACAGTCTTTTTTTTTTTTAGTACCAGGGATCAAACTCAGGCCCTTGTACTTGCGAGGCAGGCAGTGAAATCACTGAGCCCTTAGTCTTATAACCATTAGAGGGGAAGAGGATGAAAAAAGAATTAAGATGTGTTATGGACATGTGCCAAGCCCCATGAGAAATATAATCATTATGTATTGCAAATATGTATCGATACAAATAAAAATTTAGGCAAGCCTGTGTGCCTGTAATCCTAATACTCAGAAGGCTGAGGCAGGAGGATCATGAGTTCACAGTCAGCCTGGGCACATAGTTCAACGCTGGCCTGAAGATACATAGTGAGGCCCTGCCTCAAAAAAAATAAAGAAATAAACATGTAGATTCCCCCCAAAATGAAATTAAATAAAGATATAACCCATTAAGTTAAGAATGAATGTGGCTTATTTTTGCCTCAGGCACTGATAAGACGTGCGTCCTTTAACAAGTAGAAATAGAACATCATACATTGGGTGACGAAAAATAGTGAACTGAAAAAAACTTTTAAAACTTAGTACAGTAAAAGATGTTGCCAAGAATGCTAGGTAAGTGTGAAGTTAGGAAGGATTTTTGAGGGTGTTTAATGGCATTGTGTTTTTATTGTAATAAATTTTTTAAAATGTCAGCATTCATCATATCTTTTGATCATACCTATATGACAAGCACAACCCAGTTTTCATGTCAGGTAGGCAGTGCCAAGACTAAGATCTTAGAAGATATGCAAGGAGGTAAGCAGCCGACTGCATCCACTTACAGGGACTAAGGACACAATCCAATGTGACTAGAATCTAGGTGGCACAGTATGGGAGAAAAGCAAGGCAAAAATTTGAAGAAAGATCATATTAAACCTTTTGAGTCTCGAAGTGTATAGTCCTGTAACTGCCTGAGGGTTTTGGTAGAAACACTACAAAGTAGTATAGAAATACTCCTTGAGTTTATCCAAAACAACAGTTGTTTTTATCCACCTACACAGAAACATGAGTAAATAAGAAAACAGTTCAGAATGCTATGACCTCAATAGTGAGACTAATCAGACATAGACTAAAAATGCCTGTGGTCTCACACTGAAAGTTTAAAAGCAAGCTTTGAAAGAAAAAACTGCCAAGCAACATTACTGAATGCCATATCAAAGCCCTACGCTGAGGGGATCCAAACAATTGCAACATACAACAATATAAATTACACCATCTTATAATAGCTATGCATACAAAGATGCATGATTATGAAACACATTAGAAAAATTCTATGACATTTATAAAGATGGTAAAATTAGACCATTATACTAAAATGTCCCAATGACTGTAAATTGCTATCTCTCTCTATATATATCTATATAAAATAAATAAATCATATTACATGGAATAAAAACAGAGCAACTTGGTAGTTTCAAACCAAACCATACTGATAATTGCACTTAATGTAAATGCTTTAAATGGTATAAAAGGGGGCTGGGGATTTAGCTCAGTGGTTCTGCTGCTTGCCTTGCAAGTGCAAGGTCCTGAGTTTAGTCCCTCGTACCAAAAAAAAAAAAAAAAAAGTATAAAAGGCACTATTTCATATTGGATAAAAATGTGAGATTGATGTACTGTCCTCTAGAACCCTTAAAATACAAAAGTTAAAAGAATGGATAAAGATAACTGCTATGCCCTGGGCAATCTGTCTCTTGTTGGCCTCTTAGAACTCTACAGCAAGCAAGATTACCAAATCCAACCCCACATCTGGTGGCTGGAGCTGCAGAGAAAGGATATATACAAGCTGTTAGTGCAACACTACCTCCAAAAAGACTGATATGGATTATAACACCAAGGTTGTAGAAGGACCGTTGCCCTCTGGCCATCTGGCCTTATCTTGTCCTCCTTGCCCCATATTTCTTGACCTGCTGAAGTTGGAGGACAGCCTAACCAGTGAGGATATGAAGAAATGGATGACTAATTTCATTGTGGGTCAGAATGTAAAATAAACCCACTCTAGGAATAGAATATGTCATGCTTCTTAACTAAACTGCCTATGTGTCTGTCCTGGGATCCAGCAACTGCTCTGTTTGCTATCTACCCTAGAGTGAATACCTATATTCTTGCAAAAATCTGTGCATATCATCTTTATTTAGAATATGGAACTTTATTCAGAAATGGGAAATGACCTCCTGCCTCAGCCTTCCAAGTGCTGGGACTACAGGCATGTGCTACCACACCTGGCCTACACGCGAGGAATTGATAGAGGAATTGAGCAAAAAATCAATGAAGATAGTGAATGTCTGAATAAAGCGATCAACCAACTTGAAATAATTGGCATTTGCAGAATGCTATATACAACAACAGCAGAATACACTTTTCATTATCCAAGAGATTCTAAAGATTATTGTAGACAATATAAACTCTTCTACAGCCATACAGTGCAATATTATGTAGGGATAGAAATACGTTATCAGGCCACTAAAACGCAAGGAGGAAACTGAAATGTACATTACCAAGGAAAAAATGGCAATATGAAATGGCCACATATTATAAGTGTCCAAATATTTGGTGTACTAGAAAAACAAAAACATGGAGACAGTAGAAAGCTCAGTGGTTGCCACAACTTCAGGAAGAGGGTGGGAAAGATGAATAGATGGATCACCAAAGGGTATTACGGCGGGGAAACATCTATATAGTACTTTAATGAATACATATCTTAGATTTGTGAGAACTCATACAGCACAAAGGATGCACCGACTATGGGTGTTAATGTTTCAATATTGTAGCAATAATGTAAGAGGTTAAAAATAAGGGAAATCGTGTATATGGAGAGAAGGTAAAGGGGTAGTTATGGAAACTTTCACACATTTTTCTATAAATCAGTCACTGCATTAAAGATGGAAGTATTTTTTTAAAAATCACAAGAAAACCAGAACCTTTATAGCATTCATTCATAGGCCTCTGAAAGGACAAGGAGGCAAATGACTGAGAGGCTGTCTCAGATGTATCTTTAGCCTGGAAAAATGGTCTCAGAGAAGAGCACAGACAGGGCAAGACCTGAGATG